TATGGACAATGTATCTAATTAAAATCATGCATGTAATAAAAAGTTAACAAACGGAAAAGGCTAGGCTATATAAAACTTGCCTGTAGGCGACTGTTGGTCAGTTGAAAGACTGACATAAATGTGAGTTTACAAACAGCAAGTCTTTGGCCTCCTTGTTGCACATGGTACTTGAAGGTGTACTTCCTCTTAGTAATCTCAGTGTCAGGCCCACGTGGTCGTCTGCGACTCACCTTGTGCTAGAAGTAAAAAGACATGAAGTAAAAAGACATTTACCATAGCGTAGCAGGCTAGCCGTATTGTAGAGCTGTCAGGTTAAGGTCATTAAGTACGTGAGTAGGCTTTGGTTAGGAGAATGAATAAGCATTTTAGGGCACCAAAGCGCTGTGGTCTGACTGTAATGCACTTGGTGGCCTACTTGATGCTGATCATCCTTCATCCATCCTCACAAAATTTAACATTTACAGTGATCAGGCACATGTGCAGTCTTAGTGAATTGAAGGCATACAGTAGTATTCAATTCACTGGTTATTTCATGGGCCTACATTGTGATGCATTGCATACTGTTGACATGATATGGTCATGAATTGCTTAAGTTAGCCTACCTGCTCCAAACCAGAGAGAATGATAGCCTGCTGCCTCTCATAAGAGACAGCATAAAACTCTGTGAAGAGCTGGAGTTTTCTTTGTTCTGTTAGGCTTGAACACTGCCTGGGATACGTCTCCTTGCACACCTTGCCCTTAACAAAAACAAAGTCACATTAGAGTTTTTTTTGTTACATATAGCTATAGAACACTAGAGCTATTAGCAGCTATTAAGGTTACTACCTATAATATATAACGTAACAGCTTACACAATCAATGCATTTTTTTATTATTACCTTTTATTTATTAAAAAATGAGTAACAAACAAATATAGCATACAATATCACAAAACAAAGTGTTGCATAAATGGTAACATGGGATCCAAAAAGTATATCAAAATATTTTAAACACGTCAATGACTTTTTTATTTCAGAGACATAAAGCAATCAAAGTCTAATTTTCTCAGCTTTCATTTCGACCCATTCATGACTTGATTCGCTAAACAGTCAGAGCTGTATGAACATTAGTAACGTTAGACGCCCAGTAATATGCCCCCTGACTGTAACCAGCTACGTTACAAAGTAACTGGCTAGCCAGACATCAAACGCAGCTATAATGTTTCGATTCATTTATCCTCGGTTATAAGGAGTAGTAGCCTACAGCATTAATTTCGACCCATTCATGAATTGATCCGTTAAACAGAGTGAGCTATATGAATGAACTGTAGTAACGTTAGACGACGCGCAGGAGCCTACACGCCCCTCTGACTGTAACAGTAGCTGCTAAGTTAGATACTTTGTATACGGTTCTTTCACTCACCTCTTTCGGTGGACTTTTTCCTCGTTTTTGCTCTCCTCTCCGGTTCACATATGGTTTCCCAGCATCCCTCAAAGACTTCCTTGCTCTGTCCTTCCATTCATTCATGTTCGCTCTCCTTTTTTTGCCGAGGTTTTGCCGTTTAATGTCCGCAGCGGACATGAAAGCAACCGGCGTCTCCATTTTTCGTTAGTGGACATAAACGGTTTTTCCGCGAGAGACTATTTTAAAATTTAAAATACAGAGTTTTGGTCGCGCGAACACACCCCCAAAGTGATTCTGTATACAAAGTGGCACACATACATTCAAGTCACATGGTTATCTCAATTTTTGTTTTTTTGGACTTATACGGTTGTTCGTCGCATGAACACAATTACATTACACAACACATTTCAGTTTTTGTATAATATAACTACTATATAATACTTAACAAATCTGTAATTGTGGGATCCTAAAGTGGTTGTGAGTTCCTCAGGCAGAAACATATTCACCTGTGTGATGGACTGTTGATGTGTTGTTTTGATGTGTTGAAGTGTTGTTTTGGATGTTATGATCAGTGATGGATGAAGCAATGATGAGTTTTGGATGTTAAACAGTGTGATACATTGATTTTACTTGGACCTAAAGCATATTTTGTCTGTAATTCATGGCTTTCAATAGAAATTAGTGGAATTTTGCCATACAAATCTTTAAAGGCCGTTTTCTCAAAATGAGTTTTTTCTCACACTCCTAGTGACGATTTTCCACTTCAGTAGCACCTACATACACCAAACTTTACAGTCCTATTCCTAACTATATTCTGAAGGTTTGTTCAGAGGGATTTGTTGATATATCATTTTTGGCCTGATTTGTATGACATTTTATGCCTAAAAATAGGGCGGAAATCAATTTTTTAAGACTATTGGCAGTATTTTCTGATTTACAGGGTAACAAAAGGAGATATTCATAATCCCCTCTGAAAATGTCTTTTTATTGAATATATCAACAAAATGCAAAAATAATTTTGAACCTTGTTTTTTTCATCTTCAAAAAACGTCACTTCAAAATATAGGCAAATTAGCGCATATTTAATTAGATATAGCCTGATTAGCATATTGAAACAAAAAATTACAAAAAACTTGCAATACATTTTTTTCTCCAATTCATGTGAGTAATCAACTGGTAAAGTTTCATGGTGATATCTGTAAGTTAAAATTTTTAGCCTATTCACCTGTAGTGTCTCGCCTTAAGTCTATGTAAACAGATGGGAATTTTCAAATATCTGCAGTGAAAATGCAGCCTAAAATAACTGCTGCTGTCTATAATAATTACATGAACTAATTAATAACTAGTTAATAACTAGATAATAACATTAACTAAACCATATTGACAAGAAAAAGAGAAAACCCTCACTGCCCTTGACGGATAACTTTAGATTTAATAAGCCATTTAGAACTGAGCATGTTAGACTAAAGAAATTCACAATAAAGCTATTTTACCTGCAATACAGTAGTTCATTTTCAATTCTGAAGCGGTGATAATCTATTATTTTGAGAATAAGACAATGCTAATAATTTAATTAGTTTTACTTCTGATTACTTTCTTATCAATTTGTGTATGTTTACTTGAAAACTTGCTATTGTTAAATGCTGCTGTTAGGTAGGCTACTTAGGGGGAAAAACAAGCATTGTTTACCTCATTTGTGTCTTTGTAATATTGCTTGTAATTTGTTTCATTGTTCTTTATTTTATTACTGATTGTCTTGAATAACTGTTGTATTGAATAACTATGTTTACTGGACTTTTGGAAGGTTTAATGTTCCACTTGGTAACATCTGGTCACATCTCTGCTCACATGTGTTCAATAACATTAAAGGGTTAGTTCACCCAAAACTGAAAATTCTGTCAGTAATTCCTCACCCTCACCCTCACCCTCGACATTTCACGTAGTGGAACTGCACAAAGCTTCTGTGTTGTACGTCACACGTAGGCTCACTATTGGCCGACGCTGGTCATGTGTGTGATGCGTGTGACGTACAACACAGAAGCGTTAGTTCCACTATGTGAAATGTCGAGGCCCACAGGGAAGGAAATGAATAGTTGAATAAAGTCGTTATTTTTGTTTGTTTGTTGCGCACAAAAAGTATTCTTGTCGCTTGATAAACTTAAGATTGAGCCACTGTAGTCACTCGGACTATTTTAACGATGTCTTTCATAACTTTTGGGTCGGCCAGTTTCGATCCCTTAAGAAGCCTATGGAGGAGTGATCCAGCTCTCAGATTTAATCAAAAATATCTTAATTTGTGTTCCGAAGATGAACGAAAGTCTTACGGGGTTGGAACAACATGAGGGTGAGTAATTACTGACAGAATTTTCATTTTTGTGTGAACTAACCCTTTAACTTTTCTGGTGGTTATGGTACTGAAATTGGAATAGAGACTTTTTTGGTACTGTGACTAAAACGATCTCAAAAAAGCGAGAGATCACGTGAGATCTCTTGAAAGTGAATGGGGTCATGTAATTTTGATGTGTTGCTTGCAGCATGAACGGGGCTTAAGGATGCATGTTATTGATCTTATTGTGAACAACTCATTCGTGCATTTTTTCATTTTATTTAGCTACCTCATTATTTTTTATCAAAATGTTTAAACTCTTCTGGTGAAACGTCAGAGTTCTCTCTTGACTTGAACTTGCCCTTAATTGCAATTTACTGCAAGCTCACATTTTGTCTCCTTCAAATCAACAATACATTTTTTTTTCTTTTTCGATAATCCATTTCATTCAGACGTATGTCACAATACGAAAGAAGATCTATCGCTACTTCCATTTCATCACTACTAATTTAATGACAGTGTTAAATGTCAGGCCAATTTAAAAAATAATATCCTTTTTCATACTGTACAGCATGATTGTTCACTAAAGGGTTCCTTGTAGTTTCTGCAAAGAAATATTGTGACAATACACATTTTATCATTAAAGCAATTTAAATTCAGACGAAATATTACAGAAATTAAACAAACTACAATTTTTTTTTTTAAAAATCTACAAAAGAGTTTTTCTTACAATTTCAAAGAAAACGAAGGATTATCACAATTTTCAATGTCACTACCTCTAAATGTCACTAACCATCAATGTCAGCTACATCTAAAAAATCACAGAATAGATTTGAATTTAACAAGGCATAGTCTTATACATAAAGATCTGTTACTTGAGGGGGTCCCACACCAATGTAGCCTCAGTTAAATCTCAGCACGCTGTCTGCGCCAATGGCCTCTTCTAGGACAAGCATTTGTTTATCAAATTGCATGATGAAAATCTCCCCACTGCTCCATTCTCTATGACAACAAACATTTGCATTGTAAATATAACTCCAGAGGAGAGAAGGGGAAGAGAGAGATGGATTTCGGGCCATGCTCCTGTCCTGAGGGCGAATATAAGAGAGACATGCTTTCGCCTTACATGAGAATATCAGTGTTGAGATCACATAATAGTCCCTGAGAAACTTTATCTTTCCAGCCCACAGAGCAAAATAAAAAAAGGTAGAAGGTTAGGAAAGAAAAAAGAGAAAGAAATCTGTTTGTCTTGAGCTTAATGGTTGCTGTAGAGTATTTACGGCTGTATTACCTGAAATTCAATGCCATAGTTCTCCCTGCAGAAGTCTCGTAGTTTGGGATAGACATGTTCTTTCAGAGCATTTCTCTCTGCTTCTGTATCTGTGACAACAAACAAAACACAAACAAACATGAATATTCAGAAAGGGAAAACAATCATCTGTAAATATTCATACATCTTTGTTTGTAAGTCTTAGGGCCAGATTTACTAAGAGCTTGCGCCAGCGCAAACCCTCTTTTGGCGTTAAAAAACTACTGTCAGGATTTACTAAAGACACGCAGTGAAAAATTGGCGCTGAAAAGACGTGGACGGTTGTTTTTGCGGCTAACCTTATTGCATATGCATTTGTAGGAGTTTCCCTTTCAGGTGCAAAATGTATGGGAGGAGAGTATTTAAATGAATCACGCAAGGTGATTTACTAATGTTTGCGCTCGTCAATGTACTGGTGTTTGCGCCATTATTTACCACCCCAAAAAAGCCCGTCTTAAACCAGACGCTACCTGGTAGATTGCGTTGGTCATTATGGAAATGATCTGACTGCGTCTTTGTCCTTTAATTTGCGTGTCGTCAGTAGATCACGTGCAGAACTTTTCACTCCCATCTGCGCTGTTTTGGAATTGCGCTCTCACACTAATTTGCCCTGTTTAGTAAATCTGCGCCTTAGTCTGTATATGGATTTATTCAGACTTCTAAAAAAGGTGCATTTACAAAAATGTGTGTCAGTAACAAGGTGATGGTGATTAAAGGTACAATATGTAAGAATTTTGTAATAAAATATCCAAAAATCACTTGCACAGTGTGATATATTTCCTGCAGTTGTGTACTTACAATATCCCAAAAGTCTCCAAAGATTTTTTATTTCAGAGAAATTCCGATTTTAAATAAATGGCCATCCCGGAAATAAATGTCACCTGTCAATGACGCAATATACGCGCTATCCTCGATTTCCGTTCATACTGGCATAGCCATGACGTAACCATGGCGACAGACGTGGACAACTGCGTAGTGCGTAAGGATTAGCGGCACGCAGTTCTTGTTACTTTCAAACAAAGTGAGGATCAATATCAGCGTGGCATTTTTGAGATGCCGAGAGCTCCACGTCCGCGACTAACTTGGACTTGACAGCTTTATTAGACAGGTGAGCAAATGTACATAGTAAAACAAATCAATGTTATATAACGTTAGCTCAACATGATGAAATGTTTGAATATGGTCAGTATGTTATTCTAATGTTGATCTACTGCTAGTTTCGTATAGCAAATGAACTAACCCATAGTATCACATTATAACTTTCAACACACATTTAAATGCCGTTTAGTGTGATAGTTTAACGTTAGACCAAGTGAAGCAGCGCTGCGTTACCTCACAAGTTTAATTCGTCTAATAAACTGACCTGTGTGAGTAATCCAGCACTTGCGGGTAGTTTGGTAGAATTAAATGTCCTTATTCCTTTATATCCGTGGGACTCACGTGTGATATCTGTCTCTTTAGCAATCACGACCTGTTTCATACCACTGTGATGTTAAAAAACATGAATGTTTGCACTCATCCATAAACATTATTAGATCCATTAGCTTGACAGCAAGTCCCATCATTCAGCTCATCACTGCGTCATCAACCTACGCCTTGTTATTGTTGGAAACTGCGCCCTCTTGTGGTGAAAAAATCTTACATATTGTGCCTTTAAATCAGTTTCATTTCATATATTTTTATTTTTTATTATTTACATACTATTATAGTAAGTTTTAATATTTTGATTAGCTTTTATTTTTTTATTTGAATATATATTTTAAATTTTATATATATTATATTTGGTTTCATTCTTTTAGTAATTTTGTTATGTACTTTTGTGATTTTTTAGCCTCTGTTTTTTTATGACTTTTTTTTTCAATTTTAGTTTTAGTTATTTTAGTACTTCAACTTAATCTATTTTTTCATTAGTTGCCAAAGCAACATTTCTAATTTTCGTTTAATTTTAATTTTTTACTTTTCATCTAATATTTATATTTTATTTCAGCCTTTTTTTTAAATTAATTTTTTTAATTATTATTTTTTTTAATTAATTTTTTTATTTTTTAAAATAGTTATAGCTTAATTTTTAGTTAACAATAACAACCCTGTTAATGAATGATTACTGTAGTCATGTACCGTGGTATTTCCATAGTACTTCAAACAATTCTATGGTGTTTCTGTCCAAAATACCACTGTAGTTCTTTCCCTCTCAGATACTTTCCATCATATGCATGAATGCTTATGAGCAAATCACATACAAACACTTCCAAACATCTCTCTTTTAGTCCCTGTCTTTTGCTGTCACCTCAACACTCTGTTCTTTTCTCAGGGGATAGCTGCCAGCAAGGCTTGAAAACAGAGATTCCCCGGCTTACACTGTAGTCACTACTGTTCTCTGCTGCTAGTAGCAGAGTAAAAACAAACATGACGTCTGTGATCACATAGAAAATCTGGGATTCAAAACCTGGAAATAAACAGAAAGTTGCAGGATTTTGAAAATGGTTGTTTATGAAATATTTCTGTTCACGAGATGACATAAAACTAAGAAGTATTCAACTCAAATAAGTAAATTAGAGACATTGATCATGTGACTCTTGTCTTGGTTCAGATGGTCAATGTTCTTCTTCCGTTGAAGATCATCTCAAATCAAGCTGGAGAACCTGATGATCAGGTATGACAAACAAACTTGTGCACTTCATGCGGCCTGACTGTCACTAAAGCAAAATCACTAAATTATTCAATTATTAATTAATTTGTAGTGAAAAAAAGTGTTACATAATACAAATGCAAAATAGCAGCATTTCCACTAATGCCTTCAGAATCTTGCACACAGCAGCAGTGTATGTCGTTGAATATTACATGATGCCCTTTGTCACAGAAAGTCAGGGCAATATGAGACAATATGAGAGTTGACACATTGAGGATACTCAGCCTTACTGTATTTACTACTGTACACAGCTGCTAGTACCAAGGCAAAAATAAACAAACACTCCCAAACACCCCCAGTACCCTATATTCACAAACCAATTAAAGCTGCAATTACAAACCTTTGACACCTAAAATAGTCTCTCATACGAATATGAAATTTGCTTTGCTAAGACGACAGTCTGATTCCAAGGTCGCTTAATAGATGATGCTTACTTAGTCAAACATCTATTTTTGCATCTTCCTTTCCCTTTACACATCCTCTATGCCTTTCTTGGTCTGCTAAGCTTTGATTTACCTTGGAATGAGAACGAAAGGTAACTGAACTTGATTCTGAAGCATGGTTTTCTCTTCTACTTGTCAGTATCAGTTTGCTATTGTTTAGGCTCTCTGCTGATAGTTGATATTTCGACTGAGAACGGGAAAATCAGACTGGAGAGCTCTCTGTGGAAGATGAGGCCAATCATGTGCTCTGAAACCTCTGGCTACAGGCAGCCAACACAGCGTGTCACAGCTCACTACAGCAACTGTATCTGTGTCAGCCTAGTCAAGATTTTTGGTGGGTTCAACCGCTCGTGCGGCTTTCATGTTTTAAATCTTTTATAACGTTCCATTCAGTTCTTTTTTGGGCTGTCCTATAAAGTATCTAGTCTCAGCCTTTTACTTTTCTCTTGCACTATGTTTTTCTGTGCAATTTTGTTGTTCTTTTCCAGACTTTCTCAATGATAAATGCTGTGGAATAAACTTTCCATTCTTTATATCTTTCTATACTTTCATCTTCTCTTCACCCTGACAAAAACGATAACCTAACTATCCAAGCAAGCAAAGAACTTAAAAACATGTGGTCACATAAAAGATAAAAGGTGAATTATCTCTTGTTCACTTTCAAACCAAGCAGCTTTCTGTTCAACACGGTGAATTTACGTGACCAACTTGAACCTGTAAAATAAGCAAGGGGAAATCTTTCATCCTCACGTGAAATTCATGATTGAAATGATCGGATTTCGCTTACAATATTGGTCAAACAACAGTAAAAGTGACCGCACCATTAGACCTTTTATATAAACACAAACAAAACAACAGAGGAGTTTAAACCTGTAACATCACTGGGAAGCTTCTTTTTAAAAGGTTATGGTCTTCTACTGAAACGTTGAAATAATCTCCCCACATGTCACAAACCATCCCCAGAACAAAAGAAAATCTTTAGACCACATTAGTGTCCAGTTAGAAGACAAGACACGTATAGACTGGCAAAACACCAGGGAAAAGCACCTCGTAAGTAGATACTTTCATATAGTCATAAATGAATTAACGTGCCACGCACTGGGGAGCACTTTATACAGTGCATTTCCATAACAGATTGAAGCTTTCAAAGTGTATCCATCAGGAAATTGTGTCAAAGATATAGGTTTGAAATGTGCATAGACAGAAAGAAAAAGAAAGGAAGAAAAATAGAGAGACAGAGAGAAATTAAAAGAACCATCAGCTATATGAGCCGATGTACTGGCCTTCACATTTACATGTTGCATGTTTGAAGTGTCTGAAATGATTGAGAATCATATAGAAAGATATTAAAAAAGAGGAGAGAAAACTAGTGAGCTCATTCACTATGGGGGTGGGTGGTGCCGGTAAAGCTTGTATTGAACCAGATTGCATTGAATGGATAAAGAAAGGAAAGCGAGGAAAGAAGAAGGAGGGTGTCGTGAAAGGCTGTAAGAAATAAAAGACTTGAACAAGACTTATAATTTCTATAATAAAGCCTTGTAGCCCCAATCAAAGCCCGAAAGGCTGACTTTAAACATCTCAGATGTATAGAAGAATTCGATTTCTTTTTTTTTTAGCTCCCATGCATTTAAAATGAACTTTAAATTTAAAGTCTGTTCACACACAGAATTCATTTTTGTTGTTTTTCAATTGTTTTTCTGTCTAAACATATGCTAGATGCTAGATTTTTGACCATTATAACGTATCACATGGTTTTCTTTTTAGATCTTTTTTTCCCCTTTTCACTCGCTCTATGCCTTTCTTGGTCTGCTAAGCTTTAAATATCATTGGAAATCTGAGCTTCTTTGCCATTTTATATGCCTATTTCAACCCTTCTGAAGCATAGTTTTCTCTTCTACTTGTCTGTATCAGTTTGCTATTCTTTAGGCTCTCCACTGAT